ACTCTCTAACTCTTGGCGTATCGAAAACGATGTGACACCAAACAGTATGAATATTCTGATTTTAGAACTTTCTTTCAAATACCTTCAAATTTGTAAATTTCAGTGTTGTTGAAATGATACGAAAATATGGAAGCACAGCAAAGATTGCAACTTTAACAAAAATTAAAAACACAATAACAACAACTACTGTAAGAAAGTAGCAGCGCTTTGCTGCTGCTGCGCATTTTATTCGTATTCATTTAATTTTGTTTGCGGTACACTGCTTCCACTGACCTTCAGCCACGTAGCCATCTACTATCTGAACAAAAGTAAATCATAGCCTATCGATGGCGAATATAAGGCCAAGGCAAAAGCCAACCTCACAATGCTTGATTTTAGTTGGTCGAAAACAGCATTCTTTATATTTTTTCACAGAGTAAACAATCCGGCGGGAGGGTAGGGGACAAAGTATCGACAGGCATGGCAGAAACTTTGTTTCAGTTACTGATAGTGGTTGTGGTGTTAAAATTATCGTGTTGATGGATATTTATCCAGCTGACACTTGTCTGCGCTTTCGAGCTTTCAACACACACTTTTTTGCTCCGATTACTTGGTAGCAGAATTCGGTAGCTGGAGCTGGTAGCCGCCGACACTAAGTAATCGAAAGTCAAACAAAAAATTCCCAAACTTATGCCAATGCGACCCACACATACGAACATACCTACATACTCAAACACATAAATCTCTGCATATTAAAGAACGTATGCGATACAAGATAAATGATTGGCAGTCCCGCTAGCGCGTTGCTGGGGTACGCGATGGCGTATGATATACTTGTATGTTGGCCGCGCTACAAGCAGAGCTGAAAAGTAATCAAAGCGCTGCAAATGTCTCACTTCTTTTCGAGTATTAAATTCATGCAAGTTAAGTGCTTTGTAATTGATGTTATAAAATATTTATGACAATCATTGTCTCTTTCTTTCTTTCTTTCTGTGCACGAACTATATATATACATACGAGTGTGCGTGCCTCGCTACCAGCATCAAATCACTTTTTCTCAGAATTTTATTAGCTTTAATTTTGTCAAGTTGGCACTTTGAAAAGTCCTTCAACTAACGGCACACATATTCCATATCCACCTTTTCCATTGAGGTTTATCCATTTCCACTACTCCACATCTATTATTTCCCTGCTGTTGCTGCTGATGAGTCAAGTTGCGCACTCTTTCCAACCGGTAATTGACATTAATTATTTAAAAGGACTTTTTGAAAGTTTTTGCCAACTATAAGTGACATCATGGACTCGCGTAAAAATATCTAAATTTGTGTGAATGCTTAGCTGCTGCAATTAGCCGGGTGAGAGATGCAAGTTGTGCTCAGGAGAAGTGACCTGTTTTACAATATATTAGTTGCGCTGAGTTGTAAAGTGCTTTTATATAGTGTTGGATTACAAGTACTTGACATCAGGATTACATTATGTTGGAAAAGACTGTTGTGAATGGTTAAAAATCTTATGAATTGTGGAAGAGTTAATGGATAATAATTTAAATGACGTTGCTTAGACGAGGTTAAAGAAAAAGCCAGTATATATATATATGATAAAATATATACTAAGTTTTTGAACGATTCACATACTAAAAAAGTTTAATGAATTTGAAAAGATAAATTATAATATCGTAATGAAAATAATTGCGAATACGTTAAGGCTTAAAAGGCACAGAAAGGAACTTCGCTAGAAAAAATATTAGTGACAATGAAGTGGTAATTACCGAAACCAAGGCTTGAGCTGACAGCCGAATGGAAATACAATACAAATTTACCGAACCTTTTAAATATTTTCTATGCATAAAAACATCATAAAAAGCTGAACTTGATTACTGCTTTTACTTTGACTGATATTTGCAAATAACTATGTTCCGACCGTCTGTGCTATTGTAGGAATGAAAAATAGTATCTGACGGCGCACACCAAAAGCTTATTTTAGTTATAGGGCTTCCATCTCAATATGTTGGATGGAGTCAGTAATGAAACGCCGAGATAAAACGACAAAACCGAAAATAAAATCGTTAATCTTGAAATCGCCTTAACATCGCTTAATCATAAGAAAGATAGAGTAGAAATAAGAGATCGAATAAAATATTACCCTTGAAATCTAATAAAAAAGCTCTCTTCCAGTAAAGTGTTACTTTGAATTTAAAAGTAATGAGTGTTTTTTTAGACGTGTGGTTTTCAATAATGTAACACTTTTTTCGGAATTTAACCTTTTGGCAGCTGCTACTTGATATATAAACAATATAATTTTTTCTTGAAAATCACATGTCTAAAAAAAACCCCTTTAAAATGGTCTCTATATGTATGAACAAAAGGTACGCGAGCAGTGAAAACTTTCGGTGAGTGGATTCTTGGAGTGTATATAGACTATATGTGGCCTTAGAAATTAATTGTCTTAAACGGCAGGCAGTTATCTGTTATAAGCCGTAGATTTCTTTTTAACTTAGCTATTAAATAACAGCTAAAACAATATCAAAATCAAACATGAATATCCAAAATACTATTTCAACTTAGCGATGCACTGATTTATACCATTCTTATACCGCCCCTTTTCCACACAAGTATTACCACTGACTTTGACTGATTGTTATGCGTTATTAAATAGACATTACATGTGACGTCGTTGCCATCCGTTTACTTAAAAACATATTTATCTATTCATTCACTTTTCAAAAGTGTAACCGAAAACGGCGCACATCACGCGGCGCATCATCAACAGGCCTCAATTGCAAAAATATTTGCATGGCGGCGTTGAGCGTCACGCGAGCTTGAGTAAACAAAAATAAAAGCGCGCACGCAGCACATACACAAATTCACATATATACAAATATATGCACGTAGTATATAAGTATTTGAAAACAAAAACAAAATGCACAGCATATTGTCCTTCAACTTTCACCCTCAACGCGCTTGTTGCAGCACACTTTCGCCCGAGTGGTAGTAGTTAAGAATAAATATAAACAATACGTAGTTGTTGCTGTAATTTCTTACTGTCACTGTTATTGTGCCTTTTTGACGTTTGCACGTTTATAAATATTACTTTAATATGACAGCCACCAAGCACGTGTGTTGCACAAGTGCGCTGTGAAGCATATGGATGTATGTATGTATGTGTCAATGTGGCAATGTGCTTATGCATGCGTGGGAACGCGACAGTGGGTGTCCAAAATATAATTCATCATTTCTCGCATGCCACCGGAATGAGTATAACGCCCTTACGATAACGGCCTGCAACACATCGTGTTGTCATCACCAGCTATCATTATATCATCATCATCATTAACAGTGGTGAAATTTTATTAAGGTATGGAGGAGAGTTAGCATAACTGTAAACGGTCAGCTATGTATTGCAAACCCAGATGCTAAGACCCTGATTATATGTTGACCAAATATACTTCATTATATCGTATAAGTGTCATCACACCTACACTTTTTTTTTATATAAAAATTTTTTTGTATGAAAAAGTTCTTCTTTATTCTTATAAAGAGAATTCGGGTTAGGTCATAGGTGTGATCGTCGCACTTTAGGTAACGCAGGATCCGCTGGACCTTTGTGATTCCTAAAACTTCAAGATATGGATCACTAGACCTTAATAGATCGACGAAGCGCTTGAAATCTACCACTGTTTCCACCTCGGTCTGACAAAAGCAGGATAGTTGAGAAGAAAGTGTATAGATAATTCCGCCTCGCTTTCTTCCATACAGCATTGGTAATTTCAATCGGAAAAGATATAGGTATAACCTCATCACATGTGAGTCTATTGGATAGTGTTCAGTCGGAATCCCTACCATGGTGGTGAGATGAACCTTGCTAAGAGAGCTGAACGATGTGCAAGAGAACAGCGAGGCACTAATTCGTTGCCATTGTTATATAATTATGATGGCAGCCCTCTCTGCTTGAAAGAAACTGCAGTGGTCTGCTAGCCTGAAGCTAGAGTAGATGGAGAGCTCCTTTCAGAAGCCTTCCTCTCCTACCTTCCCCTAAGCTTCGATATATCCGTGAAAGAAACCACGACATCTCCTCTACCCAGCTTTCTTGAGTCTAATAGTCATCTTCATCGCAATGCACCTATCAGATATGTTCTCAAGTGCTGAATGGCGTTGATTGCCATTGTTGGTATTGCCTTTAGTGCTTCACAGCTGGTTAGTGAGTGTAGTTTTTCCGAGCGCCCTTCACCAGTCACACCGTAATTATTGTTGCATAAGAACGAGAACAATGTCCTTTATTTTACAATATCATCAACTTCTAAGCCATGTTATATCTGAGACCAAACCTAACCTAACTATTTTCTAAAATAATTTTCATACAAGAATTTACAGTACTTTTAAGTTTTGTGTAAGTTACCTTTAGATAAAACAGTATTCTGCTTTATGCTAAGAACTTCACGCGATAGAAGTAACAAGATGTCCTGAACTTTGAAGAAGTGGCATTAATATTAGGGATATGACGACCTTGTTGACAATATTCTTTATATATGAAAAATACATTTAATTTTTTTTTTTTTTTATTTTTTTATATATTTTTTTAGTGTTTGCTTATCTTACATTTCTCTCATACAGACAAACTCGTTTTTCATATCAATTATACTGATTAAGAAGATAAAACAGGTGGTAATCCTTTTCAAAAATATTTTCATACATAAACCTCTTAAACATCTTTTGTTGTTGTGTATATTTAACATGAATATATATTATAAAATTTGGCTACCATATTTTTTAACCGTTCATAAATTATTGAATGTTGAAACCTTTATTACTTAACCTCAGTGTGAGTCAGTTTTTGGTTGCTAAACGTAGTTTATTTTGATTGCGTCGATCTAAAATGAGCTGGAGGTGTCTCCATAATTGTATACTTTTGTATATTATATAGATAGGCTGTAGAAGTAGTCTTCAACAAGAATTCTTTCAAAGCCATTATATAGTTTTCATATAATGGGATTTTAATATTACTCATCTCAATTTGCATTTCAGAAGCTTTAGATTTAGTGCAATTAAATAGAGGCTCCACACCGCCACCAATTGAAGTGCAACCAACATCAACAGTTAACTATCAGTCTTATGAAAACCCTGACACATACATCACGAATAGCTATAATTATGCTAAACAAGAGCTGCTTTACAATCCACATGGAAGACCACGCATATGGAGCTTGGCCAACACGGCTGCCGACGATTCTGCTCCACTCCAGCTCAACACGCTTACCAACATGAATTCCATGCAACGCGAATGGACCGCCAATTATATGCCTTCAACATATGCGACTACAGCAACAAAGAATCAAACCGCCGTAGTCGCAACGATTTCCATGCAACCCACTTCTCCACCCGCACTCTCCAACGGACCACAGCGGTACGGTGGACAATCCGTTGCAGTGACGCCACCGCAAACACCACCAAATGCATTGCACACATTTGCTGGAGCTTTTAATCACGGCGGCGGTATGCATACGGCTAGCCGGGATATGATCGCCTACAATGCTGCAAGAAGTGAAGAGCTCCGCACTGCTGACGGTCTCTATTGTAAGGGTCAGAATTGTGCGTGATTGTGCGCCGAGTGTGGGGGATAGGTAAATTCAGTTGTGTACTTTCTTAGATTTGCATTTGAAATATTAAAATTATTTTGTTTCTTATTAATTCACGCATGCTTACCTCGCTCTCAACAGGAGTTAAAGGTGAGTTGCCCGCATTTGGATACAATTAATATTTTTGTAGCTGTAGCTTTGCTTAATATTCGTAAAGTGTTTTAATTATACAAATTTAATGGCCAGCAAGTAATTTTTGATTTTGATTTTTTGGTGCTGTTCACCCATTTGCTTAACCCTTTTAAGCCATCAGGCAATTAGTGTGTGCGCAAAATCAATTAAACTGATTCGCCGCAGATAATTGCCAGAGAAATTAGTCACTTCATTAATTGCGAGGAGGCAGAAGAGCCAGCAGAGAAAAAACAACGTCTACTGTTGGTAATGATGATGAAGAGTGAAGGGATGCGCATTTAGGGGTTGGTAGCTCAATCGCCAGCATCATCACTCAATCGTTCTGCTAAACTTCCGTCGGAGTGTCAGTCAGTCAGTCAATTATTTAACAGCCGGTTTTTAACATTGCTAACCCCTTAATGTCTGACCAATCCCCACCCTTATCGGCTGAAGTCTCATTCACTTGGCAGCAACACCCACGAGTGAAGTCATCTAGAAAATTAAATTAAATAATTAAATCTCAATCAGAATCCATTAAGCTTAACTGAACGCCGACAGTCGAAGTGGTATCATTGGCGCTGCGAACGTGTATCAAAACCTCGGCATAAGCCGAGCGTCCACTTCGCTATAGATAGACTGTTGCAGTATTCCCCTGTGTAACACTTAGCTCAGCCGGTGCGTCGTACTTATCCAGCCAGTTATTTATATGTGGAGTGTGGCAACTAATCTACTCGCAGCCCAGGCACTTCCTTCCTTCCTTCTTTACCTTAGTTCATACTGCGATTTCGCACCACCAGCCAAGACAAGAAAAGCATGCAGCAAAGTGCTGGCTATTGTAGTTTTATTTGGAAGATGGCTTGCTGTGGCGCACAGCGAGGGGTTAATTCGTTGCGGCTCACGCAATTTTAATGCCTGCTTAAGTAGTTAACCACATTGGCTGGAAAAGCAGGCCGCGAGCGCGAGTAAACTGAATTATGCACACGCTTTGAATTTATAGCGATTATAGATTTACTGTCTGCCTGGAAATAAGAGCAAATATGCTCGTTTATGTGGGAGATAATAACTTCCAGAGGTTCTATGATACTCGAGTTCGACCTATAACGGTACATTTAATTTCAGTAGACATATTTAATACTTGCAGCTATGCTCAAACTTCTATAACTCACCCGCCTTCGCCCCTTTTCTAAATATTTGATGCACAAAAGATCATACCTTGTGAGTCCCAGAAATAGGTGATCAACCCCTTTTTCGAACGATTGGACGATGCTCGTCTTCTTCAGAGGAAGTTCTTCGGCTGATGTCCAGAGTTTCGAGTGTTCTTTGTTAGATGATGTGTACCAGTAGATCCGTGTGCCGAAATAACGCAGATTCCACTGTTTAGTGCCACATACTGCGGTTGACCCACACGCTTTTTGGAGACGCCTTCTCTTTCAGCTATCTCTCACGGCAGTCTGGCAATGTGAGATCTTCGGATTTTGTCACTTTTTGGGTACCTGGACTTCGCTCAACAAAAACAGAAATCCGTCAAGCGTCATTGTATACAAAAACAAAACGCTCTTAATAATCAAATCAGAATCTTGCTTTTTTTCAAAAACTGATTAATGACCGGAGGAAAGATAGGATAGAGAAACCAAAGTCATATTATATAACTAGCGCAAATCTGTTGATTCGTCCAAAGTTTTTCGACTTAATATATAAATGTCTATGACAACAGCTTTTGGATGGCAATCGGCTAACTAATACTAAAATAAGAGAAGATAACAATAAAACTTTTCTTTGAAAAATTTCAATGCGAACAGCTTAAATTGCAAATCCGAATTCCTAACACCAGCTCATATACACCACTGCATAGCTGACGGAAGTAGCAAGGATAGTGAAGGGTTGCAAAGACAATCCGCGCGATCTAAAGCACATTATAGCTACATACATATATAGAAGTATGCAAGTATATTTTATGTGCAGCGGCGCTGAGCTTTTGAAAATTTATTATGCGCAAAGCAATCATTTATCAGCGGCGCAGCATCTTTCATAATCAGGATGCCAGAAATGAGGCCGCACACAATATGCAAATGACTCACTAGCAGTGCCACCACCAACACATGTGTTCATGTGGCATGCCAGAAACGGCGCTGCTTACAATGCGCCACAAAAGTGGCAGCGGTAATTTTTGAATTTATCACCGAACTCACAAACTCCTTACTTTTTGGTTAAGTTTGACAAAGGCGCATACGCACCAACATACACGTGTGAGTATGTGTGTATACAAGTAGTATAAGTGAGTGCATCGCACGTAGCTTGCCACATACGCGTATGTGAACGTGTGTTTGGTGCACACCTACAAAAGCTGCAGCATAACGTCGTTGCCACTTCCTTTTGTCTTTGCAATTGCTGCCGCCGCCGTTTGGCTTTAATGCCATCGACGCTGCTTTGTTGTTGTATACCTTTTGTTGTTCGTGTTGTTGCCAATGGTGTCTCTTTATTGTCTTTTCGGTGTGTTGCAACACCAGACAAAAGGTCGACACATACCGAACGACCGACTTAATTAATTTATGCGCACACGGCAGACCCCCCATCACCCGTCACCCATCAAGCGCTGTACGTTTCGGACCAACACCACCACCACGACCGCCGCCTTCCCCTACGCTGGCGTGAACTTTTCAATAGCGCAGGCAGCCAAATAAACCAACGACTGGTCATGCCACAAACATGCCAAGTATGGTGCATGGAAATGAGTTTTAAGGGACTGCGGCAGAGGTTGGCGTTTTTTGTTCCCTCGTTTGAAGTTCGGAATTGGAGGCCTTCATTCATTTCGAAAACGCGCCTAATTTTAAAATTAATGAGCAGCATTTTAATGGGCGATGCGTCGCGATAGTAAACACACACACGCACATATTTGTACTCGTATATTGGTCGAGCGTATTGCCTGATTGCCTGCCAGTGAACCCTTCGGAATTGTCAAAGTAAATCACGTGTTTATTGGCACTTACGACACCAAAACTAAACAAAGAATGGCAGGAAGACATGTGATGAGTGGGACCACGACGATGCGCCACAAAGTGCTCAAGCACACAAGCGCACGCACACACACTCACACATGTGCACATGCGCACTAGCGCGTCCAACTGGTTGAAGACATTGGCGCACAAATATTGAACTGTGCGACAAATGAACATTGAGAGGCAGCAGGAATGCGAGTGGGTCATCATTAATTACACGGACGGACACTCGCATACACACAGACAGTTAGACAGTTGGATTTGTGTAGAACAGTATAGTGGAAGAGGCCTTACGTCGTTGCGTCTTTAAAGTGAATAGATGTGAAGTCGGTTGACTGAGTGACCGTTGAGTTGCCGCCGGTTTGGCTGCGCGGGTTTGTTACTATTTCAGCTCTCCAAGCCAGCCGTTTTGACTGTTACGAGTATAAATAACTTACAGTGATGGCTTTAATAAGTATAACACCCCTGAAAGTCAATTTTGCTGATGAGTAAGTATATCTACCATGCAAAGTCGCGTTGACTTGCTTATAATTATTCGACTTCATCGATTTGCTTAACTAATTGATATGATGTGGAAGCCATTAAAGTTATGGACTATAAGTTTAAAACTTAGAGTTTTTAATCCTACAACGTTATATTCAAGACTATAAAATCTGGTTTCGAGTCTTGAAAATATAACCAAAGTGTTGGGCAAATTAATTTGTTTGGTTTCCATAACTTTCGAGCGCTCGCACGGCAATTTCGGGCGATAAAATCATGACTTGAGCTCATGCAGGGTCTGAGGTTTGCTTTTAGTACACAGTGTCGTTTTATTTTTTGTAAAAGTAACGAATTCATGCTATTGCTTAACATTTCTCGCAGTGTAACAATAATTTATTCTATGAAGATGTTGCAGTATAAATACATTTTTTCTGCCAACAAGCAAATATTGATGCTTGGTCTGTTTCGGCTAAAAATAAAAATCATATTTATACTTCATGTAGCCGCTCTCTCTAACAAGTTCATTGAAACTTGGGAACTATATCTGACTTCCCTATTTTCCAAAGAATTCCACCCAACACGTTTATATGTTTAGCAATTTGCTTCAAAACTAAGTCTGTTGATGATATTTTCATCGAATGAACTTTACTGAATGACTATTTTCAATTTGAAGGAACACAATAACGGTCAAGATGATTGAACAGGCCTAATAATGTTAAAACATTTTATATTCTAAGACTCTTTACCAAGCTTAATTAAAATCGTCAAACTTACCCGTTTTCTGCCGTTTATATGAATATATCTCTACTTCATGTGGACTCACTCTCTAATATATTTAACAACTTCATTGAAACTTGGGAACTATCTCTCACTATTTTCAATTTGAGGCAACACAATATCGGTAAAGTCATCAACAGACATCCGATATCTTTTAAAGATATCTATTAGGCCTAAAAACGTTAAAATATTTTGTATTCTAATGCTCTTTACAAAATTCCAATAAAATTTGCAAGCTTACTCGAGTCAAAAGAGACACACTTAAACGTCCAGAAGATGTCGCTGAAATCAATTTACAGCTATCTTCGATATGTCATTTTCTGCTCGCCTTTTTTTTTATATCAGATGTCAAAATAATAAAAAACCAAAGTTAGCGAGCTTATTTCGATGCCAAAGAATATATGAATATCACATTTATGTGGTATAATCGTTTTCTTCAATCCTTCGAAGTTTTATTCCACAATTTTTAGACCAGTTTTACCATCGCAAATGGCTCAAATGACAAATTGCTGTCTAAAATGAAGAATATAAAAATCCAAGTGCTGTCAATTTGTTTATATGAACAGCTGGTGTAATGCGCTTCCCTACTCTCCATAGCTTGGCGAATCGACGGCAGCTAATAATGACTTGCTTAGATGTGCAACTTTTTTAACGAAATGTTGGTGCATACGGGTATGCAAGTACAACTTTTCGAAATCATTAATTTTTTCATCTTCTTTAAACCAATATTTACCGCCGCCATTGTACACCCTTCAAGCGTATATGACATAACCATACAGCGCCCAAAGCCACAAGCATAGCCAAAAGCATTTTAGTAGATGAATGCATTTAAGGTTTGACCGGAAACTTCTTATCTCAGTGAAAATCTTGGATGCCTGAAGCTGCATCACTTCAGATTCTCAGCAAAATAAAATCAAATAAATAAATACAAGAACAGCAACCATAGCCGCAGGTACAATTTGAACACAGATTGTTGGGCACTCAGCGCTCAGGTGCCGTTCATTCATTCATTTATTCAATCGTTCATTTATTTATTTATTCTCATTGCTTGATTTTTAATCAACGCTTTTCCTTACTTGACTTTACTTCAGCGTAAAATATGTGCAAGTACATATGCGTGGATGTTCATATATATATATATTATATAGTATATATATGTGTGTGTGTGCGCTATATGCATATAAGAATTCTGTGGTATATTCAAATCATGCTGTAAATTAACACACACTTTTACAAATAAATGTGTATGCATATATGCACATACATTTTGGTTCAAGGGCGCTACATCCATTGTGGACACATATGAATATGTATTTATGTGTATTAAAAGTACTTTGTTTGAAAGCCGGCTAACTGTCATTAATTGAAATCAAGTGATATAATTTGAATTCTAACTTTTTTAAAAACGATTTTCCTGGAAAAAAGGTGCTCGAAATCAATCAAGAGATTGTTATTCTTGATTGCGCCGCTTTTAAGATTTTTATGCGCCAAGTTCCACATTTTGGGGCTCGAATTTTATCAACTGAATCTCTGTTAGCTATATAGATATGTGTGTATTTTATTCTCAGCTTTGCTGCATGCAGACAGTGTGGCAGCTGAATCGTTGCTTACGGGAGACAGTTTGGTTTTTAAATGTGTGTTCCTACATATATGTACATACAAACTATATAGTGTGCGTATGTATGTATGTATATACCCTTAGTACAAATTTTTAATTAGTAGTGTCATTTAAAATTAGTGAGGTTGTACAAATTATTGCTGAGTTTGGTCATTTCTTAGCGTTTCTCAAATGGGTTCGTTAATTTTTCTTTAACAATTTCACTTTGAATGCATGTTCTTGAATATTTGTGTGTGCATTACTACATATATACATATATTGTTATCATTTAAAAAATTTCTTTATCTATTCACCACCGCTCACACACAGGACCTGCAGCTCATGGGTTTAGTATATTTAATATAAAGTTCAACAACTACAAAACATAGCAAATCACTTACACTCTTGCATTTCTCTTGCAGATCTCTATCAACATCCTCAACAGTATTCGCGAAATCTCTTCTATGGCAATAATAACAATGACAGCAGTCATAGTTTGCATGCGCATTTTCCACAACTACAACAACAACAATTACAACAACATTCGCAACATCTACAGCAACGTTCGGCGCTATCGGCACTATCGCAACATGTTGCGGAGAGCGCCATTTGGCAACAACATCACTCGCATTCACATCCAACGCATTTGCAGCAGTAATAAATGTTGCTTAGCGTGTGCCTGTGCATGTGTGTGTACATATAGATAAATCATAATTAAATTACAGTGGGCAATCGTGCAAATAAACCAAATACTTAAATTTTTATAAAACAAAATTATAGCAAAGATTATTAAATTCTAAAATAATTTATATAAATTATAAATTTTAAAAACTTTCATAAAAAACATGAAGTGAAACATGGTTTTCTTCACAGTTTCATAAAAAATGTTGTGCAGACTATATTGTTATTCCTAAAATCCTAGAATAATAACTAAGCATTCAGAGTGCAGTACTAGAAATATGTATGAAAATAAATTGTAAAAATTTAAATTTAGCTTTTTAGTATAGCAAATACATCTAAGCCTCACTTATACTTATTTATATAACTGTAAATGCGTAATTGTTTATAAACTATGTTTTCAATTGTAGTATCTGTTATATTTATATATTTTACTGTGTTTATGTTTAGATGCAACAAAAGTATTCGTTAGAACATGTTTAACCTGGATAACCGTAAAATTAAATAAATAATGATTTTAGTGCAACTAAGAGACAAAAAAATATAATAAAAAGTTAATATACATATTTCCAATACTATTTATACCATGATTTACTAGTAAATAGTTTTTCACTTAACAAACTTTTGAAATAATAGTAATCGAGTTGTGGCATATATTACTTTATGTTATTGATATTTCTCGCTCATATGCAAAATATATGCAATGAAGAAATTTATCGCGTTAAAATAATTTTTATTACTAGTACATCATTAGGCAGGCATACAATTTTTATACCCCGAACAGGATATATTAAGTTTGCCACGAAGTATTTGTAACACCCAGAAGGAAACGTCGGAGACCCGAAAAATTATGCACACGTCGCTTTCCTCCCAAGAAACTGTTCATATGTCGGTACTCGCGACATATATCGGGCTTCTATAGCATAGCTGCCATACAAACTGAACGATCAGAATCATGTTCTCATATGGGAAACCTTGACAATAGGTAGCTGAAATATTAGCAAAATTTTAATTTGAATTTAAACACTCCTCCGAAAGTGGGCGAAAATGATCCATTCCTTTCCCTACATATGGTGAATATAAGCAATATATATGTCGCTTCGGACAATTATCAATTATCAGATCATATATATGCTGACGTAGTCAATATTTGAGAAATCTTCAAAAATTAGATGATACGTTAGTGATATTAGGTAAAATAATTATAAAATGTTTCCGAAACAAATCTGTTGCCATTACAACTCCATGAATATAATAGTTTTCGTTGACCCGGTCGACTTCAAGTGAAATATTCATACTCGATTTGCAAATTCTTCTCCGTAATTAATGATGATATCATAAGCAACACTTTGAGACTCTCGCAACATGTTGCTGAAGAGTAAAACTGTTCTGTAGACATTTCAAAATGTTTGTCCCATCTATAATATTTAAAAGCTATAAGTCAATGTATCGCTCCATTCAAAATTTGTGTTTCTTTTCTTGTTACTAATAAGTTGCAACATAATATGCTATACTAATATTGACATAAATTTCTTATTTAAATCAAATCTTTTAGTCTTATTTTCAAACCGCTACCAAAAACTACTAATTTCAATTGAAATATTTGCAATGTATTGAGTTTTAACAATATGAATTTCAATGAAAAGGGTCATCCATTCAGTTGAAGGTGAGTCCCAAAAGAGAATCTGGATGGAGTTATAGGAACATTGGCTTAATGAGATACTTATGAGTGTGTGTGTAAAATTAGAGTGTGTAAAATTAAAAACTTACTATAACATATTGTACATATTTATTTACTTATATTCGGTTATTAAAATTATCTAATAAGTATTTCTTACATACCTAACCCATCTCCAAGTATAGACTGGTGTAGTTCTGCACCGCGGCTAACGTATACAGGCACTTTTTGAGAATTACAGAAGAAAATGTAGCAGTTACAACTATTTACAAGGCTGTACATTTATGGATGTAAATATGTATATATAGTCTGTCTTTCTTATTTTATTTACCAAGAGAACAAAATTTTATAAAAATAAATTTTCAAAGAATATAAAATCAAATTAATTAATGATTAATATTAATAATAACAAACTTTAAAGTTAATGATCACAAAAATGTCTAAATTAAATTATATATTACATTAATGATTGCCTTAACTTCTTTGGCTGTGTGTGTTTATGTGTTTCCATTAAACGATCGTATATCTTTCAAAATGTTGCATACATTTAGGCGTACTTTTTCACATCGAAGTGGATGAATATAAGCAGCACTATTTCATTGCATGCTTTCAGGCGTCCTCTAGCCACTCTCAACAGAGAATGTTAATGAATAGAGAATGCGCAAACAGAGAATGTTAATGAAATTTATTTATTGACATTCTCTGGTTTCGGCAAACGAGCAGCTTCTTGATAAGAAAAGGACGTGTGCAAAACTTCAGATCGATATCTCAAAAACTTAGAGACTAGTTTGCGTATATACAGATGGACAGACAGACGAAAATGGCTAAGTCGACACAGCTCGTCAAGCTGATCGTTTATATATGTATTTACTTTATAGGGTCTCCGACGTTTCTTTTTGGGTGTTATAAACATTGCGGTAAACTTAATGCACCCGATTCAGGGTATAATAATACAAAATTTACATATTAAAATCATGCAATTTGTTAATGGAAGTTCGATTTTTTATATTTTTTTGAACTTATTTTTAAAAAATTATGAGACGATTTAAATCACATTGAAAACATGTGATTTATTCGAATTGTTAAAATATAATAGTTACCGGAAGTTAAAATATAATAGTAGTCGAATCGTGCATTCAACCTACAACAACAATTACCCGAAATATTCTGGAAATTCAACTTTGAGGTGATATTCGGGAGGTTAACAGAATAGAAAGTAATATTTTTGAGAATTGTTGCTTCAAAAACCGAGGCGTAAGAGACGTAATTGATATTCTAAGAAAATGGTTTTAATGTGAGAAGCTAAATAAAAACCCCAAGTCGAAATATTACATCATTGAAATTACATTAAGGAGACTGATGATATGATTTTATTTCGTTTTTGTGCTCTACGAAGTTATGTTCAAATCGCCAAAAAAGATCTTAATTCATTTTTAAGGATTTGAAACGAATAAATATCTGCATAACGAACGATTAACATAAATAGTTTTTTGTTGAGTTGATTTCTACCAGCACGCAATATATGCGAAATAACGATAAATGAAATATTTCGAAAACTGATGTTGTTAGTAGCTGATCCAGCGCTTATAAGTAGTGAGGTTGAATAGTAGAAATACTACTTTTTTATATTTAGCCGACGTGCGCATAATGTTTATTTATTTCCCCACACAACCAAACTTTTAGTAAGCGTTTTTATAAGTGTTCGGTTTTACATTTTCAACAATTAAATTTTTGTTATTTTTTAACTTAAGTACCAGATGTGGAACCGTACATGACAATAAATATCTTAAGCCAAATATAAATTTGTATAGCCTTACATTTATGACTATTCTATACACATATTTCTTAAAATAATAGTTGAACCCATACACAAAGATTATGCAAATCATCCTAATTGCTTGCTGACTACAGTGTATGAGGCTACTTGGTATCAACGATGATACAGTTTCATATGCATATATTAAAAATATATAAATGTAGTCACACAAAAACTGCGGAAAACAATAGCGAATTCGATTGCCCGATCGTGCGCGTGCATTGTCATAACCCTTTTGTTGCAATCATAAAACAATAACAATTACAAAAGCATCACAACAATAAGAATAAAAAAACTACATGATAGCATTGCTTCTTAACAACCCGCAAAATGAGTAACTTTTGCAAGAGTCTCTTGATAGTCCAGAGCGGGCGCAGCGTCTCATTTGCAACTGTGGCTCTGGTGACCTGCACCTACCTCAGCTACTTGTTGGGATTGTATGTAAATACATGTGTTCGCTTGTGACTGGCGCCACCTGTCATGCCACGAACACACTCCACTTACTGATCGTTGCGCTGTTTGGCTGTTTGTACTTTTGCACGATCGTGCAACATGAATTGTACAATTGTTTAATATATTGGCCGAAGGATTCGGCGAGCTTCTGGTGGCCAAAGTGCACAGTGGCCGTTAGGCTCTACCAATCTAGCTCTTACAAAGTGCGCTGCAATGCGAGTAACTATGTTTCGCCGGCTGGCTTGGTCCATCCTGTGTGGTCGTCGATCGCCAGAGTTTTCCCAGAGCATAACAACAAAGCAACGGAAGAGCAGGGGTTTGGCAACAATGTGAACATTGAAGTCATGTCTTCTGCAATGTAAACAGCCAAAACAAATAACAAATATGTATGTAACTTAGAGAAAAATTTTGTACGAATTGTTTTTGCTTTCTTTTACACAAAAAAAAAAATACTTTAACCAATATATTTGGGCCTAGTTAGTGAATAGCAGAAAACATACATATTTATAAATTATATCTCTTTTGAAGAAAATGTCCAAATAGCACTTTCTTCTTCGTGTAGCGAAAAACTCATTCAACCGTTTGGTCCTCCCTCTCACCATTGTCGCAATAGCTACTGCAGCTTAGCTCCGTTCCGACCCTCTAACCGACTCCCCGCTGTTTTGCGTAGTTTCTTGCTCGTTGCGTGCGCAATCTTCGTCAATTGAGTTGTAGTCAACTTCGCTTTGTTGACGCTCATTCAATGCTCTTAATTTCCCGGCGTTGTTGTCTACTTCGGCGCGCGCACACACGAATACACACTCGTACATATGTATGTAGAGACATTATTCTTCTCTGCGTCCATTGTCTTTGCATGTTTTGACATTTATTAATACCTGAATGACATTTAAGTGATCGCATTTCGTTTCCCAAATTTGCCCGTTTCCTTCTCCACATACCCACTGTCACTGGCGATTAGAGTCGAGTTTAAGCCTCGTCTCACCTCAACTCATAACCTAGCCATCTTCTTGCGTCTCGTCTGGGCATGATTTATGGTGTCTTGACCCGAACTACAGTTTGTCATTCTGCTAAGTTCTTTTTTTCTGTTCTGTTCTTCGTGTGCTCTTCTTTACCTGGCTGGTTGGAAGATGCGCCTGCTGTTTGACTGGCAAGATTACGTTAGTGTGGACCACATGTGGCGTCTTTGTTATGGTCTGGCGTTAGGGAATTGTTGCGTCTCACTGACTGTGTGGCTGCTGTGCGAGTGGCGCTATGCAAAAATAGTTTTCATTTTTTTTTTTGGATTATCATTTAATGACTTTTAAAATATGACCATTCAAAGTACAATAGATGTGCTAAGTGTTTGTTGTCGAATAAAAGAATTATAAATACTCCTATGAATTGCATTTTGAGTTCTGTATGTCGTCATCTAGAATAAAAAACAACATCTAATCAGTAAATTCGAAATTGCGTGCTTTATTGATTACGATGCACCACATCATATTACATACATATATATACTCGTATGTTATGTATGTACAAAGATTTAAGCTTCTGATATCAGACATAACCAAGTTATAAGCAAAATTAAAATTTTATTTCAAAATGAGTAGTTCGCATTCTGTATTATAGTTTTGGGTTATAAAGCAAATTGTTAACTGATGAACTGATTTTTAACATTTTATTA